ATGGATGTATTGTCACTAATAAATCATTCCAACACAGACACACCAACATTCCATATACCTGCACAATAATCGTGTACCCACACATATTTAACATTTCCAGCTGAAAATGTTAGTCACTGTGTACATGGTATGAAAGCAACATAATATTCCTACTTTAAACTTCATAAGCGCATCTCTACGCACCTAAAACAAAACATGCATCAAAAGAACCAATAACGGGTGTTTTTCTGTTAAGTTCAAAGAATTAAATGACAACTGAGACCTAGAAAAGCCAGAAGTTTATGAAGTAAATATACATCTGTTCTCTTTAAAGTAAGATTCCGTAATACTTTACGAGAAATCAGATAATTTATAGTTAACATGATGGATAATTAGAGAAATTGAAATGGCTCTGTAAATAATATTTTGAAACACCAAACCTTTACAGGCTAAGAATCCCCGAGAACTTCAATCTCAATGAAAATTGTGCTAAAAGAGAATCCTGAGAACCTAAAATGCTTGCCCATAGATTCTTTATCAAAAGAACACATATTAAAGAACTATGGCTAGTAGACAGATTATGGTTATGCGGCCTTCCAAATGCAATTACAAAAGGTATGGCTTAAGCTTATGTGAATAGAATCGAAGTGACTTCGACTGGCATCATTCACCACAAAATAATACAAAAAAAAAAAAAGAAAAAAGCTTGGACACGCTCCTCATATGTACCAGAAGAATAAGCATGTGTTTATAATTCTGAGATGTTTTTCATAAGAATGAATTGCATTTGACTTCAACCTTAGACCTGGAATTAGCACGAATACAACCATTAGAAAGTAGTAGAGACAGATTTGTGGAACACTCTGTGAAACCAGCAAAAGAAATAATCCAGGACTGTAGCTGCAGCAGACAATACATTCAACTAGAACACATTTAAGATCAGAAAGTACACTTGAACCATAAATGTCAATTTTTTAAACAAGCATCCATGTATCATACTATCTTTGTCTGCTGACATCAAGAATAATAACCTAAATCCTGTATAGTAATACCCTTTCAAAAGACAACTCGAGACCTGAAAAATATCAAGTGCTGGTTCTTCATACTATAATTCAAGCACAGAATGTACTCAAATATTAACAAACAAGAATACAAAATTACAAGAAATTATGTAAAAAGACAATCACCAAAACATAAAGAGCTCAAAAAGTACAGCACCCACATACTTCAATCAAGATCCTCCATTCTAGCTTGTCCTCCAGAATCCGTATTTGACCCTCCACTATTGTTATTGTTCTGACGAGAACCATTATTTCCTCCATCACTATTTGCAGCTCCTCCACTTCCGCTGGTCTCTGCAGGGGATCCAAACCCTCTGAACAGCCATGGCAATGATATCCTAAACCTCCTCTCTACCGTCCTCGGTGTCTGTGGAGTTTCCTGGTTCACTGCACCACCACTTAAACCACCAGACCCTGTACCTAAATTATCATCAGTACGAATATTAATACCAAAACTTCTAACATTGCTAGTACTATTATTTCCACCTTGCTGCCCATTTCTTCGGCTTTCATAATCAGGGTCATCTGTAGGCAACTCATACCGACAAACCGGGCAAGAGTTATGCAACTCCAACCACGGTAATATACAATCCGAATGGTATATATGCTTACAAGGCATCTGCTTTGCCTCCTCATCAAGCAAAAAGCTGTCCTTACAAACTGCACATTGTGAAGAATCCGATGCCAACAACTCCTCTGTCATTTTTACGGTAGGCAATCCTTCCACAGCAGACTTGGACGCAGGCGGGGTCCCATATCTATTCGGATCATTCTCCGCTAATTGTTGAATCAACTGCTCCAGACCCGGTCCAACAAAATAATCCCCAAAATTCCCGGGAAGTCCTCCGCCGCCGCCGAAGCCAATCCCGACACCACCTCCAGGGTTGTCAAACACAACCTGGATATTCGCCCCGCCAGCGCGGAGATTATTGAGATAATTGTTGAGAAAGGCGAAAGGATTAAACTCATTTGGAGATTGGGCAGGGTGGCCCGCGGCCCCGCCGAAGAGGGCGGATAGGTCAATCTCTCCACCACCGCCGGAAGAGCTGGAGAAAATAACCGGAAACCCACCTCCGCCCCCACCTCCACCACCGCCGCCTCCGAAGATAGGAGGGAAAAATAGGTCAGGACCGACGGCGGGAGGCGATGGTGGCTCGTCGGCGGATTCGGATTCTTCTAGAAATCCGCCATGACAATTAGGGCAAACTAGTTCCGAGGTCGGAGAAGGTGAAGGAGAGATAGTTACCGTCCGTTGGCATTGATAGCAGAAGTAATTTTGCGGTGCCGTGCCGCCACCGGCTCCTCCGCGGTCACCGCCTCCAAATATTCCCGCCGACGACATTTTCTTTTCCGATAAAAGAAAAAGAGTGAGAGAGATTCTGTGTCAAAGAAAAAAAATTTTATTTTCAGTATTCGAGTGCTATTTACCACTTTAGTCTATTTATATATATTTGTAGAAAAAGTTGGGAGAAAAATAAAGGAAAACAGAAATATCTAATAATTTAAGGATTTATTACTGGAGTTGAAAAAAAATAATTTAAGGATTTATTTGAAAGGACGTACAGTCGGGGGAAAAGGATTGGTTGAGTGCTGAAGTGATGTCCTTTAGGTGCTATAATTGGTGAATGGGTATATTCCATACCTACCCTCTTTTGCCATCTTTTATTTATGCACCTACTTTCTTTAGATTGAGACAATTGAAACAAATACTATTTTTTTTCTCTTTCAATTTTCTTTTCCTAGATTTCAAATTATGAGGCAGTTTTTTTGTAAGACATTCTACTTAAAAAGGAATTCAAGCAAATACCTTCTTGGCTACACATTTGAGGTACAAAACTCAATGATTGACATTCATTTTCATCTGCGTTTGAAGAGGACAATTCTGTTTTGCGTGTAATTATACTACTAAAATTATTGTTTAGTCGAGATTTGTCTCAAATTACGAGAAACTTGAAAGGAACTTCTATGTTATTTATGATTCATTCATCAAGTGAAATGTTTGGAAAATCGTTCAAAACATCTCTCACATTTTGTAAAATAATTTTTTTCATCTCTCATTTTTAAAAGTGTAATTTTACGTTTCTTACAAATTCACATTGGTCAAATTTGGTTCCTACCTAGGTTTCCGACTAATTTTTTATCGGAATCCACCATGTGCCTTATACGTGATAATTTTTCAAGGGCAAAATTGTCAAATTAAAATTTACATAACCCGATTCATAGTCCCTCGCATTTCGCAAATGAATTTTTTCATCCCTTACATTTCACAAAATGAATTTTTTTGTCCCTCACATTTCGTCCTTCGCATTTCAAAAAATGAATTTTTTCATCCCTCACATTTTACAAAATAATTTTTTCATCCCTTATCGATCATATGTATGAATAATTTTTTTTTAAATTTATGTATATATCTATTTAATTTCACATGAACTGTACGTTCGCCTAAACGTACAGTTCATGTGAAATTAAATAGATATATACAGGGGTTTTAAAAAATTTATTAGTTTTTCACTCATGTTCATTTCCTTTTACTGGAAAATTGAAAACAAAGAAGACAATAAACAAAGGAAAAGTATGACAAAAAAATAAGTAATTGACACTTTCAAATTTTAAAACAATTACAAGGCAAGAAATTCAATAGTTGGTCTTAAAGGTGGCGAGTAGAAATTTCAAATTTAAATTGCAATTTATTAACATGACTATAGATTTTGAGTTAGAACTGATTAATTAGATAGTTTTTTTACATAACTCAATAAATAAATTATTACCAAAAGAGAAAATGGCACAAATATTGAATAGATTCACATGGTGAAATCAAATAAATATATATGGATTTAAAACAAAATTGTTAGATTTAAACCCATGTACATATCTATTGAATATTATGTGTACAACTACAATTAGTCTGTTTAGGCGAAATCAAATAAATATATATATGGTTTTTTAAAAAAAAATTTATTCGTACACATGGTCAATAAGGGATGAAAAAATCCATTTTGTGAAATATAAGAGACGAAAAAATTCATTTTGTGAAATGTAAGGGACTATAGATCAGATTATGTAAAATTTGATTTGACAATTTTGCCCCTAAAAAATGATCACATGCAAGGCACGTGATAAATTCCGGCAAAAAATTAGTCGGTAACCTAGGTAGAGACCAAATTTGACCAATATAAATTTGTAAGGGACGTAAAATTACACTTTTAAAAGTGAGGAACGAAAAAAGTTATTTTACAAAATGTAAGAGATATTTTGAACGCTTTTCCCTGAAAAGATAATATGAACCATAATTTGCAGTTGACTTAGTGTCGTAGGTTAATTAAACCAACCTTTATTTTTAGCCGAAAAGAAAATAAAAGGGGAGAATATTTTTTCGATTTTAGGAATTGTCTTTGAAATGTTTAGATGCACAAAAATTTGTGTCTCTCAAATCAAGAACCATGTTGCAGGAGGTCCCTAACTATGGGGAGCTAAATGGAATGTACTAGAAGGTTTAGATGAGACGTGTGTATCACATTAGGAATTTTATGGTGCTTGTAAGTTGTGCCTACCCAAAAACCCTTCACAAAAATTGTCCACACTTTCGAGTTAGACTTAGAATAGCCTCATTTGTACCTTTCAAAAATAGTCTCATTTGTGTTGCTTTTACATGGAAATTTGAAATTTAGAATTGTAAACAAATCGCAATAGGAGTAGTTCTTTGACACCTTTTAACTCTCTCCTGAAGTCTTAATGAAACGACTTGGTTAATATTCCGGTAGAGTCGGTTGTATCTCCAAAAATTCGTTATTCAAATTGCTGGATGTTTTGTTTTGCATTTATATACAACCGTTTGAGTTAATTTTTTTTTTTTAAAACTGTTGATCAGGTAAATAGCAGTGGCAATCTACGATTGTACGTACGCAAAACAAGAGGGCTGGTTTTTGTTTTTCCATGTAGAACAGAACTAGAGCAAACGGGTGAGAAGAAGAGATTATCCAGTAGAAACCTCCATCATATCATCTTTTTAGCCGGGATACAGCCATCAGGATTTTCCCAATATACACTGTTGAAATATATCATATCATCAGGCATCAACAATCTATCTATGTTACTTGGACTCGGCTGCCAAGTACTCCCACCGACATGGCAATTCTAATGCAAAATAGAGATTCAGACACGGCTACAGCGCGATCAAGTGAAGAGTCCGAATGACAGACATGGTCAACAATATCCATGTGAAAAACGGTCGGACCACGATCACAACCGCGACTTTGAACCATGATGGATCTTCACATCACCTAGGTTAAAGTCAGGTTGTCAAATGTCAATAATTATCAGAGGCCAAATGCAGACCCAGTCTTAAAGACTAAAGACCACCACACAAAACTCTTTCTAAGACCCAAGTGACTCGGCGTCCCAACTCGGTAAGCTCACCGGCATGACCCAAGCACCACCGCCAAAGTGAAACAAACAGTAAAGGGACCAAAGTTCCAGCAGCCTTTCAAGACAAAATAACAGTTATTAGTTGATTGACTACTTTGAAGAAAAAGCTTCATCCTGTGAATTGCATGATCAGTTCATCACCTGTTCATTGAGGTGGCTGCGCAAGGTAACAAGTCAACCTTGATTGGGTTACAAAAAATTGAAAAGTTGTCACAGGCAAAATTTTTCTCGACTTGCTGCTTCTTCAAACTTCTCAATTCTAATGGCAATAATTCAAAGAAGAAAACCTTTTCAGTCCTTTGATCCCTCCATCTCACTCAGTTCATTCCCCGTCAACTAACCCATGTTTATTTGCAATAACCGCGTGAGCTGTGTCTCCCCTCCTATTCTTGCAGTTCAAATGAAGGTTGTCATACTACTAGCGTCGTGCACTGCCAATTTGCCAGTAATTATCTGCTGGTAGATAATTTTAACAAGGGAGCTTAGTTTGCCATCAAAGACCATCTCAGCTAATAATGAGAGCCAATGCCAGTGAAATTTATCTCCAGCTACACATCCTAGAAACATGTGTGTTGATGAATATAAACGATTTTCTGTCCCCAAGTGTGAGATTTTGTTTTCCCAAAATTGCTGATGTATGTTCTTTTTTGTCCTGTAAATTTAATCGACCTAAAAAGTTCCAAGTGCCGAAGAAAAGGAAAAGCTTTAAGCTAGGATCAGCAGGACATACCGTGACAAGTAACACCAGCATTATAGCTCTAAAAACATCGAAGTCTTGACCAAGACTTGATCAGGCAAAAAACGGACTTCAATCACCAACATTGTCCGACAAGGAAAGTTGTGCCTTCTGACATCGCTCTGAATTCAGAGAAAATTTTAGCAGAAAAGAAAAATGAAGCTTGGATCACCCTCCAAAAAGAAACCCTTTATCTCCACGTTCAAGTGAAGATTTGAGCAGATATACAAACTTGGTTAGCCAAGATAGATCAGATCCCGATAGTCATCAATATTTCCTAGTGCACAGATAAAACTAATCAGCCATCACCAAGAAATTTCTTCTGCATTATTATACATGATATTTTTCAGGAACTTACAAAACCAACTCTAAAACTGATATTGTACAAAAGATCCATGATTGTTGGAAGGGCTTGATAGAAAATTTTCTTGTATAAATACTCAACTATTTACTTAGTTTAACCGATACCTACAAACTGGACAAGTGTTGTGAGATGCCAACCAAGGCAATATGCAATCAGAATGGTACATGTGCTTACAAGGCATTTGCGTTACTACTTGATTCACCTCAAAGTTGTCTATACAAACCGCGCATTGAGAGCGACACTCCCAGCCCAACAACATTTCTTCAGTTATCTTCTTTGTATCCAGTGACACCGTTCTATCCTCGTCCTCCACTTCCATCACGCTAATTGCAGGCATACGAGTGGCCTGGATGAGCGGCTCCGGCATCGCAGGGAAAAAATAATCCCAGCTGTTCATGGATTGCACCTGCGGCGGCGGCGGCGGTGGTGGGAGAGGATATGATAGGTGGATTCCCCTAGTGGTGGCGGAGCTCGGGTTGATGGTAGACAGAAGGGGTGGCGGTGGCGGGTTTGAGAAATATTGATCTCCCTCAGCAAGAAGAGGGTCGGAGAAATCAATTTCGAGACCGGATATCATAGCGACGGTGGTGCGATTGTACACGGGTGGTTCCGGCGCAGGAGGTGGCGGTGGGAGGCGGTGGGAAATATGGTGAGCTGCTGATTGTGGTGGTCGAGGTAGTGGTGGCGGCGGCGGCGGGGGTGGAGGAGGAGGAGGAGGAAGTCGATGTACTCTCCTGTCGGAGATAATAGGCGGCAACGGCGGTGGCGGTGGGGTTGGGAAATTGTGAGCTCTGTCTGGCGAAAGAGGCTCGGAAAAATCAATTTCGAGGCCAGAGATTATAGAGACGGTGGACCGATTTGACAGTGACCGCGGCGGAAGCGGAGGCGGAGGCGGAGGAGGAGGGAGAAGGTCGGTGAAACTGAAACTGCGGTCAGTGCTGGTGGCGAAGAATGGCGGCGGCGGGGGAGGTAGAGGGCATGAGAGCTCTGACTCCGCGTCGGAGTCGGATTCAAAGCCGGCGGTGTGGAAGGGAGGGAAGAAGGGATGAAAATAGCTGGTGGACCTGAGAGGTAATGGAGGTGGAGGAGGAATACTTCCCAATTCTTCCAGAACCCCGCCGTTGCAATTAGGACAGATTAGTTGATTAGTAGCGATGATTTTCACCGTCCGGTCGCAGTTGTAGCAGTGATAGTAACTCTGCCTAGGAGCGGTGGAACTGGTGGCGCCACCACCTTCTCCTCTTCCAAGTAGACCACTGCCGCGATCAGATTCCCCGACGGATGCCATTCTTCTGGGACTTCCATGTAAAACAGTCGAGATAATACCACTACATGCTAATCTGAGTCGTTTTAAGTTAGAGGGAAACAATCTCATCTCATTGACTTCTTAGCTCTGAAGTCTTCCTTTTAGTTTACCTTTCTTGTTTGATTAATTTGGCTTTTTCTAGTCCTCGTGTAAAGTCTCAATCAAACTAGTGTTACTCTTATCGATGATCAATATCATAATATATATACGATTTTTCTAACATAAAAAAAAATTCATCTAATCGTTCATATATATATACTAATAATTATTATCTTTCATTACTTGTATATAATTTTTTATTTAATTTTATCTATCATTTCTTATATTTATTTATTTTTTTAATTAATCTTATATTTTTAAAAATATAACACCTAAAATATGTGTCGTTAGATAGACCTATATACATATATATATATATATATATATATATATATATATATATATATATGTAACATTTTATTTATTTTTTTTCCAGTGAATGGTTTTTTTTTTTCGTTTAACAAATGGTTGATGTTGGCACAAAAAAGTCATGTACAGCAACAATGTTAATACGTGTATCTTTCTTAACCAAAAACTCAGTAACAGAAATTGCAAATAATTAATATGTTAGCGACTTCCCCCTGTTCCAACAACTCGACAATAAGTAGCAGTAATACATGTAGTAGCAATACATGTATACAGACAAAGAGCTGTCTTGACCGCGCGGACTTTCAAACTAGAGGTGTGTTCAAGTCAAGTTATGTTTGAATAGTATTGTATTTGTGCTTGAACCCGGTCATTAACGGTGCTATTTGAGTTAGAGCTCGAGCTTAATCGAGTAAAGAATCTTAAATTCAAATTCGACTTGAGCAAGTAGTATATGAGCTTGAGAATTCTTGTAAACTAACTCGAGATCGATCTCAATTTTTTAGTGGTAAACTTCACAACTTCTATATTTATAAGTGTGATTCCACATATATATTGTTTTTAATTAAACAAACCTAATTACTTGAATAAGCTTGTCGAACACTCGAATCTACCTCTCCAAAATTTCTGCTCAACTCAAATTTGCAAATAAGTTGTTCAAATTCGATTCGAGTTTTAACCGAACTTGAATCTAGCCTTTGATCGCAAGCAGTTTAAATCTCTAATAGCCGTATTCCTCACAAAAGGGAGATTTCCAAATCTACCATAGAAAAGAAACAAACTTCAAACCCGACTAAAACTTTAAGAAGGCAACAAAACTTCTTCACAATGCAATCACTTTACTAACTTAATCTAATAACTTTAAGAAATAAATTATACAACAAGCTTGGTTTTAAAAAGAAAAATATTCTAACAGTTGAGAATTCAGTCTTTTGGATGTCGTTCCATGTCAGAGAAGGTGGACGCACGACAATTTTTCTCATTGGCATTTTGTTTTTTTTCAGGGGAAAGTGGACAAATGAATAGGCTAGATCTACGCGCAACCAACTCAAACGAAAAGGCACTACCTTTAAACTTTGAAGGTGAAGTTTGTCACTCACCACTACCCTTTGCCCTTTATCCTGAAAAGGTTTGTGATGCTCTGATTAATTTGTGCTAGAAAAATGAATGGACTCACCACTACATAACAGGTCGATCCTCTTGCATTGTTAAGAAGACTCTAGTGACTTGTCTGTGAATGATCACAACTAATTGCACCATGAAACATAGGTTGACTGAAGGAATATACTCAAGTACAGAATTTATAGGTGACCAATAGGTGAACTCGAGCTGGCTCGAGTAGCTCGAGCTCGAGCTCAAGATATTAAACTCGCCAGATCGCGAGTTCAAGTATATATATATATATATATATATATATATATATATATATATATATATATATATATATATTATTTTAAGTATATATATATTTTTTATTTTTTTATTTTAAGTATATATTTTTTTATTTTAATAGTAAAATTACATATATATATCCTTAATATTTTATTATTTATTAAAAAAATATTATATTATTTATTTTTTAAAAAATAAAATAATTATTTTTTATTTTTTTCGAGCTCGAGCTCGCTCGAATCAAGTCGAGTTCGAGCTCAAGCTTTAAATTGTCGGCTCGTCGAGCTCGAACTCGAGTTCGAGTTCACTAAAATTAAGTCAAGACTCGATTCGATTAGACCAAAACTCGACTCGACTCGACTCGTTTGCAGCCCTAGTGTTATTTTGAATGAAAGAATCCTACTGTAATTAAAGAACTGAATTACAATAATATTTCCATATGCCCAGAGATAGCTTCTCCAATGGCCCTCTTGTGATTGATTTATAGGTCTTCATTTCCCTCTGCTTCATCCTTACCTGGAAAGAAAATGCATCATTTCGCATTGGAGTCAACTTTGCAGTAGGTGGAAGTACAGCACTAGATAACAGTTTTTTCTATGGAGGAAACATTTCTGTACCATCTACGAACACATATTCCTCTTAGCCATCAGCACAAATGGTTCAAGAAACATCTCAAGTCAGTTTTGAATGATCAATTACAACGGGAAAAATGGCTAAGAAGAGCTCTTTTCATGATGGGGGAAATAGGTGGGGATGACTTCAATATGCATTCTCCCAGGGCAAATCCATAAAGGAGAAGAGGATTTGTGTGCCATATGTTGTTGAAGCCACATCTATTGCTACAAGTAATTCAATTTGGGGCCAGGCTTATAATACTTCCAGGAAACATTCCCACTGGATGTTTGCTTAAATTTCTGACATCATTTCCGAGTGTTGATCCCAAAGTTTATGATGATAAGGGCTGTTTAAAAGACTTAAACAAGTTTGTTATATTCTACTACAATTATCTTCCAAAAAACTCTAGCATCCCCAAGACTAGAATTCCCAGGAGTTGTCATTCGCTATTATAGTATTATGACCCCTATAAATCCTTCCAATGGATCCTCCATAATACTGGTTCTCTTGGTTTTAATCAAACATTTGTGGTCTAAGGCAAGCTTTAATCATTGCTCAAAGCATGTTGTAGAAGAGGAGGGAAGTATAACAACAGTGACAACATGATCTGTGCATCACATGGAGTAAAAGCTTGCCTTAGACCACAAAGCATTATTCATTGGAATGGAGTGCATCTAACACAATAGGCATACTGATATATTTCTGACCATTTGCTCAGAGAAGTTTTGTCAAGTATTATTGAGTCTGTTGTAGATTCTGATGATGATGAATTAAGTCTGGTTTGGGCCGGAAGTTTTAGCATAGCATTGGAAATTTTAGAAGCAGATGAGATGAGACTAATTTGCGTAGTTTTAAGTTAGAAGAAAAGAAGCTTTATTGACTTCTTAGCTCTGAAGGCTTTCCTGTTAGGCTTTTACAGACTAAAACAAAACAAAAAACAGATATAGTCTGTTTTGGAAAATACGTCATATAGCTAGTAGTAATATTTTGTCCTACCAGTTTAAGTTTATCGGAAAAATGTAGTTTTGGTTCCATATTTGTCCTGTGTGTCAAATTGGTCCCAAATATTTTCATTATAACAAATCTAGTCCCTTAAATTTTTTTATTTTAGGAGATTTAGGAGAACTAATGGAAAATCACCATAACTAACTATCAACATCAAATTGGTGCCAGTCAAAAATTCTAAATTTGTATTTTTAGTCCCTAATGTTCCTAGTTTCAATCATTATGCTCCCTTAGGTTTTAAGTAGTTACAACTAGGGCTCTTTAAATGAAATGATATGTGAATTGAATGAAATATACGACAAATATATTTTTAAAATTTTTATTAAATTTCATTAAAACACTTTATATTGACATAACATGATCATAGCCTAAATAGCATATCTTTGTTAAATAAATTATAATTCGATGACAATATATCAATAATAAATAAAATTTAAAGTAGTGGCAGAAACAGAGAATTCTAGTTTTATAATCTAAGTATACAGTTGCTACTACACAAATTGTTGCATCTTATGCATGTGGGCTTCGAATTGTTGTAGTTAGCCACTGTACTTATAAAAACTAGTGAAGGTAAGTATCAATGTAAAGTGATTTTAGGAATTCTTGAAAAAACTTTCTTTTATTTTTTGTTGTCTTTCCTACTAATTAAAATTCGATGTTCCAATACTATAGTTTTAAAGCATTTATTTTAATAGTTATGTACCTTGATAATTATTTAATTGCTCATATAATGTATTGAAAATGCCAACTTTATTTCAAACTCAATTAATAACCTATTAAAATGATTTTGTGGATTTATTTTCTTTGGTATCAAAATCAACAATAACTCAAAAAGAAATGGCCTAAAACCACTACCAACCTATTGTAGTCCCAATACTCTAAAAATTCACAAACTTTAAAAAATTATGTGACACTTTCTTCTCTTCTTAGGAAGTAGCTTATCGTAGTAAAAAAAATTTGTTGTAGTTGCTTACCAAACAAAAAATATAGATTTTTCAAGAATTTGATAACTAAGCCTTAAAAATTTGATAAATTGTTTTACAATCATTTGGAAAAGTATATATGAGGGCATTGTAGGATATTCATATAATTTTTTGACCAAATCAAATGTTATTTTAAGGTTTGGTTACTAAAAGTGTCAAATCAGAGAATGTAGGTGTAATTTTTGAAATCTCAAGAGGGTTTAATAAAATTATCAAAAACCTCCGGGAGGTTTTCGAAATTGTCCCTAATTTTAGAACAAAAAAACATGTATTATTTTGACAATCAGATACTTTGCTGGAAATTTGTAACAAACGAATAGACATTATTATTATCCACCAGTTAACACATCAATTGTTACTTTATCAATACCAAAATTTATCTCCACAAGGTCACCAATTGCAGACAGTCCCTAAATCAGGCTCTTTCAACTTTTGTTCTAACAGGACCTTGTCAAGTCAAGTATTACTATGTCTTGCATGGTTAAGAGGCTCTAGTTAATTTATGGATGTTTACTTGCACAACGAGATGAATGTTAAACATGTGTTGGTCTGCCATTGTTTTGTTTATTCAGTTCCTCATGTACAGGTGAAGTCAGATCAGAAAGGCAGTAGTCGCAGTTTTTCACATTGTCTTTAGATCACCTTTGAAGCCAACCATGGACGCTGTCGATCTTGGAGTTACTAAATTACACAAGTATTGTGTTCTTGCTTGCTTTAAGGCTTGTATTTGCCCACCGAATAGCTACTCTTTTGTG